ATATCCAAAATTTATTTGTCCGTTTTTTTTTTTCTCTCCCTCCGCCTCCCCGTCCCCCCTCTCCAGAACCCCCTGACCACCTTTCCTTCAAGGATTCCTATGAAATATTATAGAATCCTACCCTTCCTACCCTTCCTATCATTTAGCTTATCTCTCTCTCTTGGGATCTATTTTGACTTATAGAAATATATAGATATATATCGATTTCAAAATGCCTTATTCTATTTTATAATGATAATTGGATGGTCAATTGAGAAATCTTCCGGATAATATTCAATAAAGAATATCATTGGAAATGAGAGCAATGATCTGAATATTAATATTGAATTCTATGAGGAATCTTGTTGGATATCACTTGCATATAGATATAATAGGCTTTTTCAAGATCTCATATTATAATCATTTTCAATCAATTCATCTAATAGAATGATGATATAAAATTATATCAAGCGTTGATAGATAATATTCGATATATCATTTCAAGGCTCAAACAAATTCTATAATGGGATCTTTGATCTATTTTTTCGTCTATCCTTCTAATAAATAAATATTTGAGGAATAAATATAAATATTTCATTCTCTATATGATTTTCAAGAAGATATCTATAGAGCTCGAATATTATATATATATCTATATATTGGAGTCTCTCCCCCCCCTCCCAAATGCTCATAGATTCCGCATTCCAAAAAGATTCCAAACAAAAAGATTTTGAAATTTATCGCAAGAATGATATTTCAAAGAATCCTTGATACGAAACCCTAAAAGCTATGCCCTACAAACCTGATAATAAAGATCTTCTAAGGATGATAGGAAAGATATTTCCTATAATAATCTTTTATCAAATTCAAGATTCGATTATATAAATATTCATCTATTATCTTAATATTTGATTTATTAAGTGTATTTCTATCATTCTTCTATTTCTGGGAAAAAAATATATGAAAGATCATAATTTATATGAACTCTATTGGGATCCCTATCTGTCAGCATCTAGCTCTTTCATTCCTTTACGAATTCAATCTATAGAATTAAAAAATGATTATATATATATTATTATGATGAAATCCAGAATTGGAAATAGATTTCTCTTATGCTATGAATGATAAACGAAACGCTATTCAATAATTTGCTAGAAGAATCAAGATTTATTCAAAGAGATCTCTATTTGAAATCAAATAGAAGTAAATATAGAATTTTAATTCCCGAATTCCCAAATCCTATATAATTCTATATCAACTCATATATGAAATCCATATCACGAATTAAATGCTCAATAATCCTTATAAGAGATCCTCAATGAATGATATTCAATATAAATCTCCATAGAAAATAATAGAAATAAGCAAGATATGCAATAAGATTTCTTGGGATAGATTCTCCGTGGGATTTAGATGAAAATACGAAAATATGAGATTAAAGATTTATACGAGGGCCAAAACTTGAAGAATATAATTTAAATTCCTGATAAATCACGAAACCAATTTGATGAATATCTCTAGAAGAAATGAATTATTGAAATAGAATCTCCATTTCTAAAATAAATCCTAGATATATTCTACAGAGACTTCTCTCTGAATTTATATATATTTATATAATCTATAACGCTCCCAACGAAATTTAATATTCTTTTAGAAAAGACTATCAATTTATTAATATTTCCAATCTATAATAGAATCCTGCAGATCATTATTTGACTTGCAAATTTCCGAGAGAAAAATATTAAGAAAATAAAATACTATCTATCTAAATTATTCGTTTTTTGCATTTAATTCATGAAAGAGGCTTTATATGAATCATTATATATGTATTATCATATATTCAATCTATAATTTCCGATTCCCCTTTAAAAATCCTTCCTGCGGGTTCTCCATAGGCATTAAAATCTCGAAGATTTTAGAGCCTTCCGAAAAAATTCCCTGCGATCAATGCGACCAAAAATCTATGCATATTCGAATCTTGCGGCATCCTTTCGATATTGAAAAAGAAGAAATCTCGTTATTCAAGATTTCCAAGAAATTAGTCATCTTCATATTCATTTGAGAAAAAAGAATCATCAAAAGATTCGGCGTCCGTATTCTAATTGTAAATTCCCGCCGCCGCCCGCCACGAATTAGAAGAGAAAGAAACGCCGAAAGAAAGAAAAATAAGAACGCAACAACAAACTCTCAAATGAAATGAAGAAATAAAGAGAAATAGGGATGCTCTATTTCCAATCATCCATTCATTTCAGCTCTCGTTCCCTCAAATTCAGAATCATCATAACCTGCGCGTGGGATCCTATTATCAATTCCAATATTCAATTCCCCTCAATATATATATTCAATTTAAGAAAAAATAAACAAAATGAATATAATATCATATATATGAATCTATATATCAATTACAATTCATTCGTAAATTATATTCATTATTTTCTCGTGAAATTCAATTTGAAATATTCTTATTCGGATATATATATATTTTTTCTATCATCTAAGAATTATTATCTAAATAATCTATTCCTTAAATTTAGATTAATCTTCCTATATAGAATTCTCCAATTCTTTAATTCTATATTCTAGCTAGAAATATCTTAATCAAGATATATCCTTAGATCATATATTCATCAAAATATTCTAATATTTCTATAAAAAATTGAATTCATTCATTTTTCCTTAAATTTCTATATAGATAATGTGAATATTATTCTATAAAATATCTTAAACAACTTTGATATTTAAAATCTTCTATTTCAATAAATAGCGCGCGGGCCTGTTTGATTCATTTTGAATATCTTTGAGGAATGCAAATCTTTTTCCAGAACGCGTTTAAGCGATAAATTATCAGGAGCAAGCTCATTCGCCAGAGCTTTTGCAATGTAGCCGCAGAAGCTCCTCCTGCGAAAAGAATGGCGTTCTCCGATGTTTCAAAGAGAGAGCTCATGTGCCACCTTATGCAAGAGGCGGCTGCGTCAAGGCACCGCATCTCAAGATGTTGGAGTGCTGCAGTGCAGGTCACCGACTGCCATCAATGAATTTCCATTTTGATGTGCATGTAGCCTTTTGCTGGGCTGACATGCAGTAAACGGGCTTTGGTCCCTATGCCATGAGGCACAAAACTAAATTAACGCAGGGTTGCAGTCAGGTTGCATCTAGCCATTGGTCAATCAATGATTGTCATGTCTCGCGACGCTTTGATTGCAGCCCAGACAAACTTACTTCCAAGCATTCTGAATCCAAGGGCCTTCTTTGGCATCGCCGCCGGACAACAACAGGCTCAAAGAGAGCTAGGCACACACCGCACAGAAGCTGGCTATGTCAGGGCACAGCATCTCAGCATTTCGGAGAGCTGACAGCCTTCACAACAGCCAGACCTCTAGATATCTTTTGGACAAGTCAACCAGTCATGCCGTCCATGTCCGATACGACCATGGAGCCTCCAACTTCACACTTTCGACTGACAAACATCAAGTTGCATCAGCTTACGCGTAAAGACCTGTTTTTGCCGTTCGTGCTGCAATGTTCATGGCGCCGGCCGACATGGCTCAAATTCAGGAGAGGTGCACTTCCACATGCAGAGTCACATCAGGGCGTGCCTTGGGAACTGGGCCCCTGGTCATGGAAAATACCCTGAAGCGATACATATCCGCGCCAACCAGCAGTCTATTAGGAACCCCACTTTATCTTCTGACTCGCACTCATGCTGGCTCGCGCGGATCCTGTTTTTCGATTCGTTGGACAACACCTGTGTCTGAAGATAAGAGATGTGGCTGGCAACAAGAATGTGCTAAGTTCAAGCGTTGTCAAACAGGCTGAAGGCCTGTGGAGCAAGCCAGCAGTCGCGGCATTCACTGCAGCTATTGCTCTCTAATTCATGCTCAGAAGCTGCCATCTGTCGTGGATGGCCAGGGCCTGTGAGGAAACTTTGGTTTGGGCCTTTCCTCCTTGCACAAGCGGCTGTGCTCTCTGCCTCTCTCCAGCAGGATTATGTCTTTGCCGAGGCTTGGACTAGGATCAAACTTGCAAGCGGCTCGGAGGAGCTCCATTTGAATGCAGTCTCGTCTCAAGCAAACTCGGCTGGCGGTGCCACTCCTTACTGCCTCAGATTTACCTCGCAACACGCCAGCCTTTGATAGCTTGCCAAAGCCATTGCGCAGCTGCTCCTGGCCGAAGTCCGCTGACATCGTGAATTCACTGCCCTCACCGCACACATGCCCAGCCTTGCCCAGCAAAACTAGTGACCTCTCAGTGAGGCTGTACATTGCACGGGATTTGACGCAACGGGAGCCAGAATTAGATGCGATGACCCTTCTCATAGAGATTTAGCTGTGCAATGATTTGTGGCCAGCCGGTCCCAAGTGCACCGTTAAAGCTCTCCGGCATGCAGCTGTCGACTCAGCCATGCTTGTGACCTTTCTGCCCCAAGTCCTCGCAAATCGTAAGCGGTGGTGCGCAGTGCAACAGCGGTGGCCGGAAAAGTGCCAAGAGGCCGTTGTCGAGCATTGCCTGCACGGGACACAAAGATGACATGCAGTGGCAAGCCCTGACCTGTCTTGATTCCCCTTGCAAACCAGGCCCCCAATGCCGGGCACCATCAGCGTTTCAATGCTGAACTTAGGGTCCTTCAATCCTTGTTTTCAATTCTGGGAAGGGCTCGTGCAGTGCAAACACCCTGGGAAACACTCAATTCTTGCGGAGGGCTTGCGCAAATCCAAGCGAGACCCGAAACGCTCGCTTGAGCTATTCGAGGCCGGAGGCCACTTCCCTGGTTGGGGGCTTAGTAATGCTTCGCCCCGATGTGAATGATACCGCAAAAGCAACCAGCTACAAATGTCAAGATACCAAAGCTGAGAGAGGGCTTTCTTGGGCGCGTCCGGGAGTCCCAGAGACGCCAAGACGAGATGCTGGCTTTGATCATAAAAAGTCCCATCAGCTTCTTGGTCTTGCCAGCCGGGCCCATTCTTCTCACTTTGCATCTGTTACAGACTGCCGTTTAGGCATTCCTTGCCGGCTCGCACCTCGTGAAGATATTGCACAGCAGGTGGTAACGGGTCGCCCAGCTGCTGAACTGCCTGGCCCCGCAGCTCATTGACGCTTCTTGTTATTCCTGTCAACTTGCCAGGCTATCTGCATCTCCCCGCCCTTCCCAGACCAACAGCAGCTCAGCATTGCAATCTCCCTCCTCTGCCTTTACTCAAGCTGTAACATGCTGTAACTCTGCAAGGAAAACTCCTTGGAACCAGTGCCTGGCCGGATGGAGTCTGGAGATCCAAGCAGCCTCAAGGGTCAGAGGGCCAATGGCTGAAGCTAAGCACCTGCAAATCTCTTTGCAGCCCACAGTGCTCAGGCCTATCAAGCCCACGCAGCGAGCTCGCTTCACCGAGGCATGCTTCGATACAAGATCTTCCATCTCCTGCAGGCATCTGCTGCTTGCACTATCTTCTGGTATGGACTTTTGAATGAAAAGCAAGCGAACTGGAACCCGAACGCGGTCACATGTAGCAGAATCTACACTTCGCACACCGCATTGAACCACGCAATATGAAGGGCAACGATGGCGACCCCCGACCTGTCACATGCCAGTGACTGTTGGCACTTTTGACAGGTGATGGAGAATGCGCGGGGCCTTTAAAGTACGACAATGCTAGGAGGTGGCCGACCCGACTCGCTTCGCACAGCAAACTCTCCACCCGCAGACCCCAGGCAGTGGATCGCCCAATAACGCTCGGGACGTGAGTTCCTTCAGCAAAGGGTACTTCAAACCATCCCTAAAAACCGTCTCCACACTTAAAGTCTTCTGTGTCCTCCTTCATGATGGGCTCTAGCCGCCTCACCTTGTTTACGATGTCCTCCTGCAAGCGTGAGAGGCAGGGCTTCTGTGTGAAGTGCCTAAACTCTGATCTCCTCAGTGTAGACCCCTTGAGCTGCCGAGTTCAGAGGATTATCCCGACTGTCCCTCTGCCGCCGCAATACCACGGAAACTCAAAGCGCGGCCTGCCCTGATGCCAGGAAGGTTTGAATGCTGACTAGGGGGCACGCTGCCTTGAGCAGATACTTTACGGTCTCATACGCACAGGCCAAAGCCACCTCACCGATGCAGGAAGCTGGTGCTCAAACACTCAGTGAGACAAGGTTCTTACCTTGCCATGGCTTGGGAAGCATGTCCTTCCACTTCTGCTTGCCAGGTGGCAGGGTGAGCGTGGAATGTCGCACCCCAGCCCAGAGCATGATCTTCAAAGTAGTCCTTGATCTTCTGCCGAACCTGGTGGCTGACTCAAGGCAGTTTCTCGTGCCAAGCATCACAGAAAGGTGTCCAAAACAAAAGGGGCCGGAAGAACGTGCTTGCATTCCGAGACGCCCCAACCATGGAGAGTGGCAGAATAGATCCTGTGAGTCCTTTGCCGCTGGTGACGATGTCCGGCACCAAGCCTGCAATGAAGGACAACAGAACTGTGATGTGGCTGCAAATGCCGCATCATAATGCCAACAATCTCGACATTTCAAACTTTTCCTGTCTGGCTTCCCCAAGTGGGCTTCCGGAAAATCTTGTCAAAGCCTTACCAGCCTTCCCACGCACAATCCCAAGCCGCTCGGGAGCCGCAGCCACACAGCAACTTCAGGCTGGCAAACTAGTAACTAGTCGAGCGTTCTCGTGTGCAATTGGCTGCAAACAGGAGATCTACAGATCTACAGCAGATCTCAAATGTTGAACTCTTGCTATTAACCCCCCCAATAGCTAAATCCGCCTACCTCCCACATTGTAATGACAACCCCGCCGGTCATTGCAAAATCCAATCTGCAAAAACTGGCTAGTAGTACTAGTACCGGCTAGCTGATGAGCCTGGATACCCTGAATTGCGGCGGCTCGGGCCCACATCTACGCGCGGGGCATGATAGGCATGGGAGGTTTCGGGATACTTAATGTGAAGTGGACATTATGGGGGCTCTCTGGTGCAGCATGCTAACGCAATGCAGGACTGCCACCCTTGATGCATACCCCAGGTGTCAAGGCACAAAATGTAACCTGACCCGAAGTCCCAAGCCAAAAGTGAAAAATGCGGTTGCAACACAACACCATCCCTTTGAGCTAAGGCTTTTGGGTTGGGGAGGCTAACGGGCCTTCAAAGTGTTGGAATGCAAAGAATTGGCCCGTGCGTCCGAAGCCAACCATAACTTCGTCGCAGATCATAAGGATGCTGTACCTGCAAGGGCGAAAGGACAAAAGGCATCGCATAATTTCAACGAGCACTGCAGAACAGGCTGCGGAACATGATACTCCTGCATAAGCCATAAGCATTCCACATCAGACTGTTCTTCGCGTCTCTTGGCAGAAGACTTTTCCCAAATGCGTGCATAGACAGGGCACTTGTCGCACAGCGATCTGATGCCTTCCATGTAGCCGGGCGGGGGAATGAGGACCCCGCCACCACCAACAATGCTTTCCTGGTGGTCGTAAACAAAAGTTTTTCTAAGTGTTGATGAAAGAAACAGGGAGTGAGACTGAGAGAGAGAGAGAGAGAGAGAGAGACAGAAAGATCAAGCGGGAAAGAGAGCGCGAGCAAGAGAGTTCAAGAGAGAGGGAGACAGAGAGTGCAAACGCCCAATGTCAACGATTGCACTGAGAAAAGCCCCACGCAAGCTGACCACACAGGCACTGCTTAGGCCAAGTGACGATCAAGATGGCAGCAATGGTGTCTGGCCCTTCTGCCAGGATCTGGTCCTCAAACGCGCTGAAAACAGCTCCCTGGCTTAATTTCTGGCCAGCCATGCCTGTGCATACTCAAGCAGCTTTAACGAACACTTACATACATTTACATACCAAAGGCATGTTTGCATGCTCATTGAGTTTAGACTGCGCCTCCAAAGCGACCAAGGCTGCTTCCGCTGAAGAATCATTGTTGGAACTCCAATTGAAGTTTGTTGGCTCTGGGTTGAAGAACTTGACGAAGCCTGAGTGAAAGAGAAGGAGTATAGGCACTGAGCCAGGCGGGCACTTGGCATCCTCACTTGTACGCGGAATCATCAAATGCCTCAAGCGGCCACTCTGGCCGCCTTCGCCAAACTTCCGACGATAGTCACCAGTGGCTGCCAAAGCGAAGCCAGTGGCGCCGTGGTAGGACCTGCGTGCTGACAATGTTGCGAGCATGTTCAATGCTAATATGAGACTGATCAAGAACAGAAATGAAATGACTTGCACCTTGAAGAACGTGTGGGGTGGAAGGAATGCAACGTGATCAGCGTGTTGTTGAATGGCCCCGACTGTTATTGGAGTCAGCACAGCTGACGGACTGCTGGCAATGTCTTCCCAAGAACATCTCGAACTCGTGGTACCACACTGGGCTATCGCCAAATACGCCTCCTACCCTCAATTCGAAAGGCGCAAGCCAAGCCAAACTAGAGACAAAACAATGTTACTGGTATGGTCGTTCACATTAACATCCTTCAGCAAGATGTGTGTAGTGCAACTGCTAAGTTCTTGCGTGCCAGCCAGAAGTGCAGAAAGGCCCTTGTACCTTGCAAAGCCAAGCGAAGAGTGAGGTGGCTCAAAGTGCAAAAGGCAACCTCAAAGCCACACAGTCCGATTTCCAAAGCTGATCTGGACTTGGGCTAGGGTTCGTCTGCGCCGTACCATAGCATTGCATCGTGCGCGCTTTTGGGCAACATGCACCGCTCATGAGCGTGATCTCCTGTTATCCCGTGCCAGCGTAATCAGACCAAGCTGTGACTGAACAACGGTAATTCCGTTCAACAACAGGTCTGTCTTCCGGAGGAAGCTGCGGCTGCAGTTTGGTTGACGAGATCCAATGGTTGTTCAATGCCTTTGAATGAAGTGCTGGTACAAACAGTACCCGGCTTGTGGTCAGAGAGTATTGTCAGTGGCCGTCGGTAATTTTTGTCCAGGACCATCACTTATCATCTCCTGGCACCTATCAGCTGGCCACGTTCCGCAACAGTGGCCTTGATTCTCACTCGTTACCTTTCGGACGTAAGATTGCGGGGTGCCAACATTGTCACTGTGGCATTGCAACTGTGTCTTGCCAAAGGCTGTAACCATGTATGTGGCGTGTTGAGAGGCGTGCTGCCGCATAGCATCTCTGGGAGCCTTCTGAGCGAAGACAGCATTCTGGAACCACCTCTCAAGACAGGTCCCAAGCTAGAGGATAACGCCGAGGCTGCCTCCTGTCGTCCTATCTGCCAATTTTGTCCTTACATTTTCTCTTATAACAAGGCTCACATGAATCCCAAATTGGGATCCTCTCCGGAGTTACCAACACTCCCTCCTAATTGGGATTTAAAGCATGCCCATGATTCGGTCTGTCTTGCTTCTCTCCTCAATGCGCACGTTTGCTCCATCTTGTCTAATGAGAGGCCCTGGTAAGGTTCTTCTCCTTGAACTTGATAAATGCGTTCCTATGCCTGTCAACTCCCTTGAGCGCATCCGTTACTCTCCTTGTTAGACTCTCCTTGCGACTGTTGCAGATTCAGTACTACTGGGGAATCTGAAACAATAACAACGGACTGATGTTTCGAACTCTCCCAGGCGACTGCTGCTTCGAAGTTTTTGCGTCCTCTATTAAGGCGCTCGCTGTCTCTCGTTTGGTTGTTCAATCTGTTAAGAGGTAATCCATGGATAGTGGGCGACTCAACCCCCAACAGTTCACCAAAGTAACATGACCATGTGATTGTTAGAGCTCTCCATTTGATCTTTAGGGCTAAGCTTCCATTCTATCATGCAATCCTCCAACCGAACCACCATCAGAGGATTCTTCCAACTGGTGTTGCCCCTGAGCCAGAAATCCAACCGGTTAAACCATTGCGCGATTGTACAACACTGTGCTATGCGTGACTGTGCGTGTTTTCCTACCCACCACCTGCGGCTGCCCGTGTCCAAACATTGCCCCCTTTGCCCTGCGCAAACGCTGTGCAAAGAAAGGTTGAAGCCACATGCTATCCAGGGAAACAGCCATGCTAAGACTGAAATCAAGGGAATTAAGGGGCACCCAGAAGGGGGCAGCACATTCGGAGGGCGGGAGGAGGTATTAAGCGAAGTTAGCAGCGCCACGCACCCCAAAACGAACTTATTCGAAAGGTTGGAACTGAACACTGTTTGGAACGAAGTAAAACAGCTTCCACGAAGCCTCCAGGCCTGACGCAAAGTTAGACGAACCCAAACAGGGTAAGTACGAACCCGGCACGGTTTGACGAACACCCACAATCTAGCTGCGAAGGTGTGCATTTTGAGGCAGGCAGAGCAGATCACGAACCTGGGGTCTAAGGGGACCAAACAAAAGTACCAGGGGTGCGAACGATGGCACGAACCCGGCTCTCACGAATCGCCCAAGATGGCACGAACCCAGTTTGCACACGAACCCGCGAACCCGTCACGAACCCCCACAGGGTTAGACGAACACCCCAGGGTTGTTACGAACGTCTAAGGGGTGGGAGGGGATTAGCCGAGTCCTGACGGACATGTGCAGGCTTAGACGGAGGGCTGGCTGCTTCGACGAACGGCTCAGGGCGGGAGGAGGGTTAGCCGAACCCTGTCAAATGACGGTGGGGTGGATATCACATGCGCTGCCCCCATCTGGGCTTCCCTGAGGAATGGCCGGGGAGTAGAACATGGCCAGAAATTAAAATCCTGGCGTGCGCACCAAAGGTGGGAGGAATGCGTGCGTTTGGGTCCAGCGTTTCACAGAAGTTTCAAAACAAGCTTCTTATGAAATTAGCCCAGCTTTGCTGACTAGCTTTAACCAAACCTTGGCTAGGAGCTTTGGCAGAAGCTTCAACACATTGATTGGAGCTTTGGTATATGCTTCGAAGTCGAAGCTTTGCTAGAAGATGCTGTAATCGACCAGGAAATTGGAGCTTTGGGAACTTGAATACAGGTTCTAAATTAGGAGTCCGAAGCGTTAATGGAAGCTGTCAGGCAAATGTTTCTGGGAGCTACAATCCAGTAGAAGCTTAGAGGCGCAAGCGGAAGTTCAGGCTAAAACTAGAACAAGAGCGACAGGAGACAGGGCTTTAGTTCGATGGATTGCAGTACTGTAATGATGGTTGCAACACTGGTCATGAAGATGCTGCGGGCTGTGAATCTCGTGATGGACTGCCACTATTCACAAAGTCTCTTGTGTCATCCGCGGTCTAATCTTCAACTCAACGCCACGGCAGAATCCATGATCCTTTCCAACATGTCCCCGCTAGCTCTGAGAGTACAAGGCAGAAGTTCAAGCATGTGCAGGCAGGCCACCTGTGATGAATGGGCAGCGGCTGAATTCCTGCAGTCCTACAGCAGCGCTTTCAAAAAAACCTTGGAGGCGATTGAAAGCAAAAGGTAGAACCCTAATAGGTTTGAAAGCAGTTCTGCTACCGCCCGCAAATCTGGACAGGAGTTTCCCGACTACTCAGATTCTACCACGGCGTGTGACAGCCATTGAAGTTCGCACCATTTTCTGTAAAAAATCTCATGAACATTTAGCCTTTAGCTTTAGCCTTCCCTGAGGTGAGACGAGGGCCTGAACTTGCAAACAGCACGGCTTGCTTCTTGCAAGCCCGTGACGATATGACCCGTTGGAGCAGGCGTCCCCCTTTGTGTGGTTTTGCAGATGTTCCAGATCATCTCAAGCGGAAAACCCACATGCTAAATTTGCCGTGTGAAGCAAGTAGTATATCACGTGATGTGTTTCAGGTCACAAGTAGATTCGGTTTGATGCTGCGCAGTCTGACTGCGACGGACACTGACTGTGCAAGCAATGTGGGGCTGGGTTTAAAAAGGAGATATCGGATCCCCAATGAAACATGCACTGAAGGCCCGGGTCTTAGTGCAGGCTAAAGCATCCGCAATTGACGAGTGTTGGGGTATCTGCGCCAACCCCCCGCTGCGCCTGTGTTGCGTGAGAATCTTCTGCTTGCCGGAGTATCGGCGAGCAATGCGGATGGCAGCCTGTCAGACCAAAAATGTTCGTGTGCGTTGCCCACTCAACAGCAACAATAAACCGTCATTTCCAAGAACTACTAGCAAGGTCGAAAAGAGCTTCAAGTCTCCAGCAAACTACAACAAATTAAGGGCATCTTGCTCATGGGCTTCTTGGAGAAGAAGTGAGGACGCTCGGACTCATGTGTAATTGCCGAACACATAGTACTACTTTCTGAGCCATTGCTTCTGGCGAATGACCCCAATTGACAAGGCATAGAGAGCAAAGATCAAGACGCGGCTGCTGCACCTCATTCGCTTCACCTCCACCACTAGGAAAGAGGAAGCCTCGCAGGGAAAGTCTTCTCAAAAGGGCAAGCATAGCGCACGCGGATGAAGCGTGACTTCAAGGATGAGGAGCCATGCCAGGTCCTAGGCTTTCCAGAAATTACATGTCCCACCTGTCAAGTCGCCAGGCGAGACTTCTGCCAACAGCCTTGAGCCGTCAAATCTTTGCAGTGATCTGCTCCCAAGTTATACTCCCCGTGGTTGCTTTTGAGCTGCAGTGATCTTGCAAACACCCCTACATCACGAGTGTGTACATGAGCAGCTTCGCAAACTACATATAAACAGAAAATAGAAATTCAAGGGTAATTCTTTGGTATGGGTGAGGATCGCTTTACAGGGTTTTGGCGAATTGTTCGTACCTATCGTTTTACACTGTTTTGCCAGATCCATCGCCTGGATGCCCCACATCTTTGCTTGTGGATGGCATCCTTGTACGTCGCCCATCTTGGGGTATCATTTTGGGGAACGCCTATCGTTTACTAGCTTTTTCTTTCATCGTCGGGATGATTTAATCTCCACCCGACCTTGGCCCCTACGCGAGAAGAAGGTCGGTTGTTCAAATGGTCCGAAGCACAGAACAAGGACTGAATATGAGCTACCAGCTACCAGGGCCTGGCCCAAAAACCTGAAATACGAAATTGTGTATACCCAACATCGCGTCCCATCTTTTTCTTTGCAAGCGAAGGCCTATCAAGTTAGATTTCCTGACCTGGGGCCTCAGGGTTTTGCTATGGCTTGGGAAGTAGTCCGCTTCTAGAGGGATGGCACAAGAACGGCTTGAGTTAACCGGCTTTGGAAAGCCTTATTAAACTCTAGTATGAACGAAGCTATGGCTTAAAGGATATTCTGAACATTTACCCTGATAGGGAGAGCCCTATATCGCCAAT